ACATAGTCATCCATTCGGACTTTGACTTTCCCCCTTTTACTGAAATCTAGGGTCATTCCCAAATATTCGTGAATTTTTCCTCGCTTAGATTTGACTGGTTTGATTGAACCATACTTTTGATTCATCCTCACAAAAATCATCATTCACTTTCGGATCGATGTGGCTTGATAACAGATCGTCCACATGAAATTGAATAGTTTGTTGTTTGCCGTTCACAATCTTGTTGGCAATACATCCATCGTATGGATTAAAAACAAAACCATGTTTCTCCATGTCTTCTCTCAACTTTTTGTACCAGAGCATAGAGGCCTCTAACATCCCATAGATGGCTCGCAATACTCTCACGTAAATCACTCGTTTTCCGTTTTCAATTACAACATAATCACGATACCTTGGCTCCAGTCGTATCATCATGTCGACCAATAATCCAGTGATCTTCATCATCATCATCATTGGCATTTGAGTTTGAATAAATGCATTTGGAATGTCCAAAGACATCATATCTCGTCCTTCATACGCATCAATCACACATGTGATCAAAATTGCTTCCAATGCTGCAATTGGACTTGAAGTATCCTCTCGAGATAGCCATTCTCGAGTTCCATCTCCTTTGTATACACATCTTCCTTTTATTTCACCAGTGTTTTTCTCAGCTAATAACATCATAGCATCTTGGGCTCTTCTTTTTTCCAAATCAGTCATGTTTTCAACATGAACTGGTTCCCAACATTCTCTCTGTATCAATTGGTCAAGCTCTTTCATCACAGCCTTATTACCTTCTTCTTTGAATAATTTCAGTCCCTTATTTAGGTAGTATTGTTGGATAAACGATACTCCTTCATTTTGAACTTTATCCTTGATTTGTTGCATGAATCGTGCAATCAGAGTTGCCTTATCTCTTCCATATTCGGTTTTCTTGTCACTTCCAACCTGTTGGAATAGTAGATTGTATTTTGACTCTTTTTTCGGAATCCTTTTCCTTGAATTTTCCTTCATTGAAATTATTTCATTCAAATAACCTTTTAATTTCTTGACTTTTTCCTTTTTTCTCATCGCACTCCTGTTCTTTAGCAAATTGCACTTGGGTTTCTTTCGATTTAGGTATTGTTGATTATACCTTGATCGATCTCGATTATTACGTTCGGTTGGTCTCATTTTTATTCCATCTTGAACATAAGATTTACCACTCCTGGTTTTCCTTGGACTGAATATGTCCTGTTTATTCACCTCATCATTTTCATGATTATCATCGTCGCTTGATTCGTCCGAATTACCGTCAGATTCATCTTTTTCATTTTCATTATCATCCAAATTCGCCACAAATTCGCGAACATCATTGACTTGATTTTCACATTCTTTGATTTCATCTTGAATTCGATCAATTAAATTGTCATTTTCTTCATATGTTTCGCGTGTTTCTTCGATTTGTTCTTCATCGTGAAGTGATTCGACATCTTCTTTGTCCTTTTGAATGTCTTCTTCAATTTCTTTATTTAAATCCTCATCATTCTGATATTTGTCATTTGGATTGGGACCTTGATCGGAATTTTCATCATCATTTCTCCGTCTCAATCGTTCATAAATACTTGCAACACTCCTGTCTTCTGCCTGTTCTTCGACATTTTTGGTGTGTTCATCATCATAGTTTTCAATAAATTCTTCCGCTTCATTAAGTAAAGCATCAATTTCATCTTGATCAATCTTTTCATTACGAAGATTCTCATCGCTTCGTTTGTATTCATTTTTGCGTGGAATATATGTATCATCCCACAGTTCATCTGGGTCCACTCCTGCAAGCAAATCACAATCCTATGATTTCACCATTCTTCCAATGATAAGTACGCAAATCACAAACGCCCTCATCGTGTGCCATTTGTTCCACAATTTTGATCACTTGTTTGGTGATCGGAAGTAGCTTTACATAGGGTCTTGTTACTGTCTTTTTTGTATTAAGATCAAGTAACACATGTCCCGCTTGTATGCTGTCATTTACTCCAAGATAAATACCATCAATCGTTCTTGATCGTTGACTGTTGTTGGCCGTATGACCATATCCTTGTACAAAATATCCAATTTCAGCGACACATTCTTTTGAAAAATCCACCGGTTTTCGTCTCACAATCATATGTGGACTGTAATATTTCGAAATTCCCTCCTTTGCAGGATAAAAGTTAATAACCTTTGTCACATGCTTGAGTAAAGCAATAGTCAAAACCTTAGGAATTGCCTTGAACACCATTTGATGATAGTGTGCTCGGAATAATCCTTTCAATGTTTGATTGCTGCGCTCAATATTTGGTTCGTGTTCGCCCGGCGCGGCATAATTCATGGTCACATCCATTATATCTTTCACGTCATCAAATACCGGTTTAAATTCGTTGTTGCAATAAATAGTTTTGATTCGAAATTCCGCATGATTATAAATGCGTAAAATTTTGTCAATCGACTTGTAAATAGCATCTTTCGTTTGATCTTTCAGTTCAGTAGAGAATCGGAATTTGATCGCTTTGTCAATACTAGCAAAAAACGCGACATTGTTGATAAACATAATGTCGATGCATAAATCCAGGTTCGAATTGTGTTTCAGGAGTTCCTTGGGCATTTTGATCCAATCATCAACCACCGCCTTTGGTGTTGTTCCCTTTTGCTTGCCCTTAATTGTTGAAACGCTCGGTCCATATATCTTTTCAGAGATATGAACATCTTCCTCCGTAATTGGACAATTTTTGAAAAATTTTCCCGAATCGCCAACTTGAATAGTTCTGCACCAGGTGCTCCCATCATATGATGGCCACTCCGTGCAATATTTGCTCGTTTCACTTGTTTCTTTGTGAAACCTTCTTCCACGCTCTATAGAGCACAGTACCCTTCCATATCATCATTTAAAAATTATTAGGTACTATGTGAATTTCATCTAGTTCCATTCCAGCAGGAACTTCATCATATATAAATCCTCTTCCATCCGTCCATTCATGAAAATCTTTTGGAATACCTCATCGTTTTGCTTCTTGAACAAATGTACTGGGTAATCCACCAAAGCAAATTTCTAAATCATCAAAAACCCAACTTCGGTCTTTAGCCAATTCATAACACCATTGAGCAAATTTCGTCCATTTCCATAAACCGTGATATTCATTCATCGCTTCACCCATAGCAATCCTATCACGCTGTAGGATGAATGCCATTCCTTTGTGTCTTTCGATTTCAATATCCAAACGTGGGTCTACTCCAGCATTGTCAAGTCCACGTGCATGATTATGGAACATTGCTGTTGCCACAGCAGGTTTGTCAACCAAAGTATATAATCCATTGCGACGTCCAAATTGCCATGTAGTCCCGTTTCTGGTCACAAAGAAGCTGTTCTCTCTCTTTGTGTCCATAAATACATCAAATCCATCTTTTACCATGTCCGACAAACCGTTGATGTTGTTGCTAGCTCGTGTATCAAGCTTACAAAGAGAATCAAATACCTTATCGATGTTGGGATATGACGAAATATGAGTTTTTACGTTCCAAACGAAACTATTCAAGTACGAGGTTTTCGACACGTGCGATCGGAATTTGATCGTGCAAGATGTTGAAATTCGACGCAAGTATGCCGGACGCAAGTCTGTCGGACAATCTGTATCCACACAAACAGGAAAAGATCCTGTACAAGTGGAATATCGATGTTGTGTACAATGCAGTAGGGAATTATGCAAGATATCCC